AAACTACTTTGTTTGGCCTTCCAAAAGAGGACAATATCCGCTTCGTCATGCCTAGAGCTGATCCATGCTGGTCGCTGAGGGAATACATCAACTTCGCACTGTGGATCGTCGGATCGGCTTTCACCGTGGATGAAGAGGAGTCCAGCCTGGGGTCATCACATGTGGTTGCCGCTCCTTCGTCGAATCCGCCGGGCGCGCCGTTCTCAACCCCGCCGCCTCAGCTCACGCTAGCCCGGCCTCAGCTCACGCTAGGTCGCCGTGTGTTTCGTTGTGAAAGCGAAACTACTTTGTTGGGTCTTCCAAGTAGAGTAGCGTTTGTAGTTTGTCATTTCTCCGATCACAAATGCAGACATGGTTTTATGTTTACGCGGCACAATGCAACGCAATGCGTAAAAAGACAGCATAAGTCATTATAATCAGTAATTATGTCCCCACTGGATGCAACAAATGCCTCGTTTATAATGGGTTTTAATGTTTTTGTCTCATCGCTCCGGCCGGACAGGGCATCAACAGTATGGTAGAGGCGTAACATTTCCGTCACACGCTTGAAGTATTCGGCCAATAACAACGCACTAGATAGCTGACCAATCAGAGCACACCTCGCTTTTCAGACCGATGAGCTTCGTAAAAATCAACGCGTTTCAAAAAGGCGGGGGAAATAGAGGAGAAACAATAATGTATAGTATGTGGAAAATAATGTGTTTTTTAAACTTTAAACCGCATAAACACATTTCATTACACCAAATACACAAAATAATGTTCTTTTTAGAAGCATCATATGACCCCTTTAACTTAAGTTTATTTTTCTCAGAATAATTTTTTAGTCACTTCCGTTTTCATCAATGCTGTTTTTACATTGCAAATGCCAACAGTGCTAGATACCAAACACAAACCTTCAAAGCAAAACTGAAATCTCACTAATCATCAGTTATTCTGACAATAATGTGGCCATAAGTCTGTTTCGTATACACTACCTGCTCTTCATCAAAGCCTAAAGCATCACCGAGGGGATCTGGAGAATTCTTCCTGCAATAATGACATTTACAGATGGCAAGCAGTCACATAAAAAACGAAAAGTCCAAAGTGTCAGTGAGCTAGAGGCCATCGAGTGTATCGTTCCCTTGAGTCATGTGTATTTCTGACAAAAAAAAAGAAAAAACAATCAAAATCTCAAGAATCTCTAGAGAAACAGACCGTTTACATTATTCCAGCTTCCTCTGTTCTCTAGGTCCTCCCAGAATCACGTTTCAGGAAAACACTGATTAGTGTTTTTAGTCTGTGTCTTTCTTTAATCAATTTCCTCCACCACACCCGTCTGCAGACCTGCCTTTGAACGAGCAGACACAGCCTGTTACAGAAGAGACCTTACACATCCGATGCATGTAAGACGTACCCCACCAACAGCTTATAGGTATGGACATCCTAAACAAATCCCCCTCCCCCTGACTGAAGGAAATGAGGCGGGTTTGACTGACATGTTTAGCCAATAGGTCAGATTATTAAATCACAACATAATGATCTGTAAAGAAAATAAATTCAATTGCTAATTTACTAAATTAATCATTCATATATGTATCTTTTGTTAATATACATATTTTTTGTTCAGATTGAGTTATTACATCTATTATAATTAATTAATTAATTCAAAACAGACCATGACTTCAATATACCTGTTCTATAATAATATAACTGTTCCGAAATGATAAAAAGCCTCATTAAAAGCCTTCTTAAATTTCCTGACAAAATGGCCCAAAATAATATCAATAATATTATATAATTATATCAATAATAACATATTAATTTAACAATATTGACCAATAGTAATAATATTATTATTATTATTATTATTATTATTATTAAACAAGACATAGAGCAGTTTTATTTTCAAATATAAGCAACATTTGAAAAAAAAAAGTCAGATAAGTTTAACAAACAAGCAGGAAGCCATATTGCTCTTGTGACAAAAATACCATTAAACAGAAAAAAAAGGAGAGATGAATCCGTGTATCATTCGATCATTCGTTTTTTGATTTAATATTGAAAGCAGAAAAATTAGAAAACGGCTCTTTTTTTTCGATAAGTTTAACAAACAAGCAGGAAGCCATATTGCTCTCGTGACAAAAATACCATTAAACAGAAAAAAAAGGAGAGATGAATCCGTGTATCATTCGATCATTCGTTTTTTGATTTAATATTGAAAGTAGAAAAATGAGAATTCAGCTTAAATTTTCGTTTTTCGTTCATGGGTGGAAAAATGAATAAACAGCTTGAATATTCGATTTCTACACATGGGCGGGAATTAAACACCCCTTTCTGCTGATTGGTCAGCCGATGATCAAACTGTGCGGTCATCAGTTC